CGGTAAAGTAATCGATATATTAGCCAGTCATTAATTACCTCCCTTATGATCGCAATCTATATATAGAGTCTACTTTGGCTAACCCGTCGATGGATAGATTTACGAGAACCACATGTACCTAGAATTAGTATATAAGCATATCCCGTTTGGGTCAATCGCTCCAATAAACCGGCTTATGGCTTATACGAATTATTCGCTATAACTAGAAACAAATTTTCCATAATTGTTTTCAATTGCTCGACTCGGCACGTGGAAAATCATTCTCTTCTGCATTCTATGTTTATATCATTTTCACCCAAAATGTTTTCATTTTATTGTATATATATATATATATTTTGTGCATAGCGCATACCAATGAGATAAACGTTTACAATTAAATCAAGAAAATTCATTTAACAAATCAGTTAAAATAAATTTTTATTAAATGAAATTAATTTTTTATAATTAAATGTTTCTTAATTGTATATATATAAGATTGAAAAAAAGAATGAGAGAATTGTATATAAATAGAGGAAGAAAGGATGAGTTAGAAGAGCGAGTGAAAAGAGGTATGAGAATGTAACGACAATACATATCCGGCGGACAGTACAATGGTAATTGTAAATCAGAGTATTTTAAAAATCTGACAGGATATATGTTGACTTGAACTCGTATATCGTCATACAGAGCGGCGGAGTTGCCCATTAAATACAGCATTATGCTGGACTCAGACATACGGAGCCAACTTCAGGCATGTGATGGTAATTGTTGAGATGTATTTCCAACACCATTTTCGGCATCTTGCTATTCAGTAAAGAATTCTTCTTTATACCACCCTACACCCACATAAATGACATCATTTTTCATCTTTCAAATCTGAATAATTTTCTCAATTATCAATTCTTATAATTCTGTTTTTCATCATACTTTATTATAAATATTTTCTTTTCATCGTGACGCTTAGGAATTTCTAAATTTTGAAAGTCCATTAATATATATAAAGTAAATTGAGGAAGATATTTTCATGTAATTTTCGTGTGGTTGGTTCGCGCATATTATTAGTACCAGTTTAAAGTTGGCAACCTACAATTATTACTCATAGCAATAAAATCGAGGAGTTGTATTCCAGTCAATAAATAGTATGCCACACGAGAAGAAGAGAAGGTGGCGAGGGCTGGCTTTAGTTATGCGGTTTAACTGCGAACGGGCACGCGACAAACTTCGCCATATGCGAAAACAAATATGAAGTTCTATAATTACCTTCATAATTATCCTCTGTAAGTGTAGTAAAAGTCAAACGTTTTAAGATTTTAAACACGAAATGAAACGATCGATTAATTTAAAATTTTTAAATAATATCAAATTTCTATTAATTCTTAGGGTAATTTTTTATAAAATTAAGAAAAATTCTCGCAAATTATATTTATAGGGATATTAATTTTTATACAAAAAATGGGATTCTCTTTTCCACAAATAGTGACGCTTTTTAAATTAAAATTTTGAAAAATTTCTCTTTGTTTCGTTGAAAATAAGAGTAAAATAATATGCAAAAGAGTAGCTCTTGAAGTTTAGTTTGGTTTTCTTTTTTTTTTGTTAGGCAACGATATACAAGATAGCCACAGTTAACTTTAGAGCTTGACCAGTAGTATACTGAGAAAATCGATAAACTGGTTCGGCAATAATTGTGAGAGAAACATCGCCTCTTATTTTCTTTCATGATGGGATAACTGCGCATTTATTATGAGCAATCACACGTTTGAAATTAAATTTATTGAGATAAACCACATGGTGTAAATGGTGGAAGATTGCTGTTCATTCTCAGGCCTAAAGTAATCATGAGATATATGATAATTGCTTTAAATAAAAAACTTTTAACTTAAAACCATGATTATACACTACTTATCGATCATCCGTTACTACAATTATCTTATATGTTTTCTTTAACAGACAATTTTTTATTCCACTTATATATATGAATATGTTATTACCGAACAATGTTTACAAAATACTTAATATCATTTACATTACAATTTAGAAGTAAATTATAATTATATATAAAATATTTTTTTGTAATTAAAAAGTAAAATCCTTATATGAATTTAGAAAAAAAAAAACATTTCTGTGTGTGGTGAATGAGATAATGTGAGGCACTTAAAGAATAAAAAGTGGGAATTTAAAATCAGTTGACAGTGTAATATAATTGGCAATCCTTATTTCCAAGAGTCACGCACGCGCTACCTGAAAGAGAGATAAGTTAATGAAATCGCCGTTTGCACATAGGTCCGTTATGCACCCAGAATGAATTGATTAACCACAATTCTCCAACGGACACCAATGCTGGGCTAAATTAAGTTATCGATTTATTTTCAATACTGTACCCCATAAAGTGCACCCTTTTTTAAAACTAAGAATCCTCTGTAAGTAAGCATTTATGTGACGCGTCACGTTCAACCGTTAAGCAACCGCTATATCGTTTCTCAACAAAACCTACCCCCCTCAAAAAAAAAACCTTTTAATTTTGCTAACGTATTTAAATTAATTTTTTTTTTACATTTAAAGCATTTTTCGAAAAAATTGTTTCTCTCTTTTTAATTATTATTAAACTTTAGATAAAGAAGATAAATTTTCATTTGTCTCTGTTAAATATTTTAATGAGCTTATTTATGTGTAATTTCGCGTAACTCCTTGAGGGCACTTGATACAATTGTGTGGATCTTATTTATTTAATTGAGGAGTGAACTGAATGCGGAGTGCTAAAAAGGTAAACAGCGCATGAAGTAAAGGTAAACCGGAATCAAGTTGATTGTAAGTTATATGCGACGCGTTTGCTTTATATCCCCAAAGCAACTTTCCGCACTCGTAAAGCTGTTTTACCGTCCCTCGGCACTTTCCAACGCCCTCAATCTTTTTCACTCCTCTTTTTTTTCTGACTCGCGCGATCAACCCCTTTTGCCTCTCTTTGATTTCTCTCACCTTCTCGCATCCTCTTTACTTTCGTTTTGCGTATTCGCTTCATTCGAAAAGTGAATTGCCATTTTGTAAACCACGACTATTAATCTAAAGGTCAGGATGAGTTTAAGGATACTGCGACCCCCCTTAAATCGATGCTTTGCACCCCTCTGAGACGTTTTTCATTTTAAGGAGATTTACGATTTCATTTCAAACTTTCTTGTTTCATTAGGAGTTGATGCTTTAGTTTTTTTTTTCCTTAAAGGGATCTCTGCTAATTAGTCAAGTCACGTAGAAGAAATCTCTTCATGAGTCGACATTCCTTGTAAAAATTGCCAGAGAAAAATTCTTATTTTTCTGTATTATTTATAAATTATTTTTTTTTAAGAATTTTTTTCTGTGGCTTAATTTTACTATGGAGCAATGTCGTTTCCCGGTTTGTTCAATAGTGATGCGAAAACCGGGTCGTCGTTCGCACGTCTTGCATCAGCTTCGTAGTTCCAATTCCAGGACACTTGGCGACCAACCCATCCCTGTCCAGGCTTCTAGGCGTTGTCCGAACTCTCCAGCAACTTCTGTTATTATAAGTTAACCCGGAACCATCCCCCTTCTCCTTTTCTCATTCCTCTAAGCTGCCCAAAATCCTAGTATATTATGGCCAGCGGCCAAGCGACCTGGAGAGATCCTGCTAAGACAGACACACACACACACACATACTCACAACTTCCCTTTAGTTGCGGGAGGAAATGTTTGATGCCGAAGAATAACACCTTCCACTTCGCTAATTCTCTAAGTCTAACTCAAACTTTAAACTTATCCTTCAAAGAAAAAGTTAAATTCAAAGAAAGAGATAATTTTATGATAAAGGTATAATTAATATTTAATAGCGATTTAACTAAATTAATAGAAATTTTGTATTTAGAAAGAAAATTATTTTCGTCTTCACTTTCACTTTTTCCAAATTCCACTTCCACTTTTTTCTAATTTCCACTCCCACTTCCATTTAGACTTTTCCACTTTTTCTAATTTTTAATCCCACTTAGATTTCCATTTCCACTTTCACTTTTACTAATTTCCACTCCCACTTCCATTTACACTTCCACTTTTTAAAATTTTTAATCCCTCTTACATTTTCACTTCCACTTTTTAAATTTTTAAATTCCACTCACATTTCTACTTTTACTTTTTCTAATTTCCATTGCCACTTCCATTTTTACTTTTTCTAATTTCGACTTTCACTTCCATTTACACTTCCAATTTTTCTAATTTTTAATCCCACTTACATTTTCACTTCCACTTTTTAAATTTTTAATCCCACTTACATTTCCACTTCTATTTCCACTTTCACTTTTACTAATTTCCACTCCCACTTCCATTTACACTTCCACCTTTTAAAATTTTTGATCCCTCTTACATTTTCACTTCCACTTTAAAAATTTTTTAATTCCACTTACATTTCTACTTTTACTTTTTCTAATTTCCATTGTCACTTCCATTTTCACTTTTTATAATTTCGACTTTCACTATTATTTACACTTTCACTTTTTCTAATTTTTAATCCCACTTACATTTCCACTTCCATTTCCACTTTCACTTTTACTAATTTCCACTCCCACTTCCATATATACACTTCCACATTAAAAAATTTTTTATCCCACTTACATTTTCACTTCCACTTTTTAAATTTTTTAATTCCATTTACATTTCCACTTCCATTTCCACTTTCACTTTTACTAATTTCTACTCCCACTTCCATTTACACTTCCACTTTTTAAAATTTTTAATCCCTCTTACATTTTCACTTCCACTTTTAAAATTTTTAAATTCCACTTACATTTCTACTTTTACTTTTTCTAATTTCGATTGCTACTTCCCTTTTCACTTTTTCTAATTTCGACTTTCACTTTCATTTACACTTCCACTTTTTCTAATTTTCACTTCCACAGTTTTCTTGAAAATTTCTAAATGGTTAGAAAAATTATTAAAAATATATACATTTTTCCAAGATGGTGACCATAGAAAATTTGCAACGTATTTATTGTTAACCATGATTTTTTCTTTTTTTTTTACAGGTGCTATCCTCAGTGGCTTGTGGTGTCACGTACGTTATAGATAAGGACAAAAGTAAACAAGGATATCTTATCTCGAAAGTACAGGATGCACTTTATTAAGGTGAGTAATTTTTTCAAATTTTTTTCTATTATATTCATTAACCCAAAAAAAAAATGACCCTAAAAAATTGATCTTAGCTCTCTTTTAACTATCTAGATTACACATCTTTTTCACAATTTATTGTTTAGTGATGAATTATTAAAAAGAAATATTTTATTTATAAAATCATTAAAAAAAAAAAATAGTATATTTTTGCGAAATTTTCGATACCTCGTCTATATCAGTTTACGAAAAGTCAACCAATTTTCATTTACTGTGGTTGAATGTTCATTTATTGTGGTTGTACATTTATTTACTGCGGTCGAAAGTTCATTTATTTCCGATTGAAATTTCATTTATTCTGACTTGATTCTTTCCATAATATTGATTAATTTTCAACATTTGGAATTTCATTTTTAATTTAAAATTCACTTTATTTATATAAGACAAATTTTAGATATCTTTAGGAAATTTTGTTTTCTCTCTATAAAAAAATGAAGAAATTCGCTAAATATTTATAATAAAAATTTAATCAGTAAAAATCTTAAGAAAATTTTTGCAACTTACTTTTTTTATTTAAAATATATATTTTGTGAAAATATAATAAACATTTCCGCGTTTGTATTAAACCATAATCATTTAAGCAATGGAAATCGTAAAGCATCATTGCTGAACAATTAACAATCGTGTGTGCGGCATATACATACAGCCCACGCAAGATCTGACATATCATGTGGCTTAACTCTAGATCGGGCGAGTGGTAACAATTTGCCCCGGGGGCGGATATCTCGTTAAGTGACAATCGGAGGTGATATAGTGAAATACGAGAAATTCAATGGGATATGATAACTTCTCATCGTTTCGAATATTACGACCCTATTTAAAGTAAAACGAGAAAGGTAATGGCAAATGATTTGACGAATCCAATCGTCCTCGACTGAAATTAACTACCTAATTGGGAAATCTGTTAATGAGGTCCGCTTGATGGATGTCAGCGAATTGCCAATTCAAAGAGCAAATCTCTGTGACGAAGCTTTCGAGTATATACTGATGCAAAGGAAAATTGAGAAATTAATTGAATAGGAAAGTAAGTGGTGTATTGCATTTTTTTTTTTTTCGAAGGAAAGGATCACATATATGCTTTCAACTCGGACCAGTTTTAACGAAATAGTTTTGTAAATATGCAAAAAAAAAAAAAAATTTAGGATCGTTTTTACATCATGTGGGTTGAATTATTTTTTGAAATTTCGAGTGACGAGTTTTATTTCGAGTTTTTTTGTCTCAGTAGTAAAAGTTGATTTTAGTCAGACAATAGTCAAAAATTTTTCGAATTTCTATATTAGTAGTAAAAGTGAGTTCAAAATTTTTTGTATTTTTGTTATCTTATATTCAATTTTTTTGTGTTAGTAGTAAAAGTTAATTATTGTCAGACTTTTTAAATTTTTGGAGTAGTAAAAGACAGTTGAAAAGTGAGGTCTTGTAATTTTTGTACAAGTAGTAACAATCGATTTTCAGTCAGACTTTTATTTCTACTTTTGTATTTTTGTCTCAGTAGTAAATGTGGATTTTAGTGAGACAATAGTCAAAAATTTTCTAATTTCTATATCAGTAGTACAAGTGAGTTCAAAAATTTTTGAATTTTTGTTATCTAATATTCAATATTAGGTATAATTAAATTTTTTTGTGTTAGTAGTAAAAGTTAGTTATAGTCAGACTAAATTTTTATTGTTGTAAAAGACAGTTGAAAAGTGAGGTCTTGTAATTTTTGTGCAATTAGTAACAAACGATTATGGTCAGATTTACATGGTTTTCAGAATTACAATTTGCGGAAAAACTTGTAATTTTTTTATTAGTAGTAAGAGACATTTTCAGTCAGACCTTGGAATCTTTCGAAAAATTCTACTTTTAGTATCAGTAGTAAAAATAGGTTGCAATCAGACTCTTATTTCTAGTTTTGTATTTTTGTTTCAGTAGTAAGTGTAGATTTTAGTCAGACATGGTGAAAATACTTTTAATTTTTATCTCAGTAGTAAAAATAAATTATAGTCAGACTTATATTTTTGTCAACTTTTTTGATTAAATTTTTTTTTTAATTTTGTATTATTAGTAAAAGACAAAAAAAGAAAACGCGAAATACCGAAAAATGGTATGAATTAAAAAAAGTAGTTCCTTTTGTGGACGCGATTAAAATTGATTTATTGTCGAATAATAGAATTCTTGTGCATTAAGAGGGAATGCGGCTTGCGATCGGAACAAAGGGAATGAGTATAGCCCGATGTGCTAATTATGCAGGGCAAGTGCAACTATACTCCTTCAGTTTTACTTTACGTTCCTCTTCGTTCGGAATGAGTTCGACTTGGACGAGTTCCCAATTGCAGTAGCAATAAATCCGGACGCGACGCACGGCGCGGCAAGATGAGGCATGGCTTCACATTCGTTAAGTTAACGCGCGATTTTATTACGAGTACATTTTTAATCGCATCCTTAATGATGCATCTCGATACTTTTCCTTCACCCCTCATTCATTTTATTCAAATTCTCTCTTATTATTACAATCGTGAATTTTTTTTTAAAGCAAAACTAATTACTTTCAAATAATTTTCGTTATATATCTATTACATTAGTTAAAAATATTAGACTGTCAAAAAATTTGACAAAAAAATTCAAGTTATGACTGATTAGCTAATCCATATTCGAAGATTTATCCCCGAACCGAAGGGTTGACATGCAGATAGAAAAAAGCAGAAAGTTTGTATGGCTGGTGCCGTGAAAAATAATGGGTGATAAAGTCACTTTTGCCCATACCTTTTGTGGTTAATGGGGAAGATGTACTTTTACACTTTTTTTGTATGATGCTTTTTGACATCGTAACAAACGACTCGTGCATTTTACTGGACGTTGCATAGGAATATGACAGTTACAATCTGTCCAATAGTGATGTTTATTTTCTTTACCGAATGGTGACAGAACTTTGTTCTCCTGTCCATTACTGACAACGATACTAGTGAGAGAAGGTGGGGGGGGGTTCACTTTTTTTCCTGTAACGTGAATATTTTTTTTTTTTTTTTTTTTTTACGAAAACGAATAACGGTAAGCCGTATTCCCCGGTAGCGAACCGTATATACGTCGTAAAGTCTATAGCGTATCGAAAGTACTCCATCATGGTTATCCTGGTCGAGGTTACAGATTTATTCCACGCCCAGTAGCCGGTGCCCTATCATGCACCCAGATGATTACCTGGTACCCATGCAAAACGCCGAGAGAGTATTAAATAAAATGCCAGAAGGCACTTCATTATAGAAGATCGTAATAATACATTCAAATAACACGTAATAACAGTATGGTGTTGAGCTTCTGAGGATCTCATATAAAATTATGATGGGAAATTTGTATTGAACGACATTAATTTTAAGATTGTTCAAATAATCATTATTTATTAATATATAATAGTATTAAAAAACTTAACTTTTACAAAAAAAAAAAAATTTGAAAATTTCCAACAATTTAAAGCGATTTTAAGATAAATATAATTTAAAGGATGAATCAAAAGAAGAAATAACCGTGGCCAATTGCAATTTGGCGCATTCAGTACCAAAATGTAATTCTTTTGCAGAATCGCATTAGAGCGCGTCACATTATCATTGGCATTTAGGGTCGCGAATATTGGGTCCCTGGCTACCTGGCCCGGAGTGGTACAGAAAACACTGCGCGGATGCCTCATTAAAATATGCAAATACACTTTGGGGGTCGTCCCGTTTCTTCTTTCTTTCTCTCGCGCATGCGTCGAAATGTTTACGATCCCAGCGAAATTAAAAGTACCGCTAAAATACTGCTCCTAATATAAATGTGTGGTGTGGTCGGCGTTTGCTTCTGCAAAACCCTTTAAGTCTTCTTCAAAGAAAATATAATCCAAAAACCTTTTATTCATTTTCAAATGAATAAAAAAAAAAAAAAATTCTTTTTTTCAAATTATTAAAGTATAAGTTAGTATTAAGATAATATTTTTACTTATCCGCTGAAGAATTTTTTTATGTTTCCACTTTTTTGGAGAAATATTTGTATATTTTTTTTGTGATTGCATCATAGTTATGCGATTTTTGTCTGATGATGCGTGAGATATTAAAGAAGCTGATACAAATTTAGAGATGCTCATATAATAAGCGCCCTACGCACCAAAAATGTGAAAAAAAAAGAAATGTGTATGTGATTCGTTCGCCTCGGGCGGATCACACACACATCCCAAATGGACCATGTATATATGGGGTATAGCTATAAGCATATACGGTGATTTTTATGATCCCGATCCGCTAACGAGAAGCCCCGAGTCTTATGCGGCGATAATTCTTCATTATCGTACATTGTTGCGAGCCATCCCGCGAACATTCAGAATGTATGCATATACCCTTTATGTCGACCTCTCTAAGCCACCGAGGAGGAGTAATTTTTTTTTTTTCCTTTTTTTACGAGACAGCTGAGTACAGTAATCAGGACGCATTTTAATTGCCCTGTGTTCTTGTCGACTAAATTTGACTTTTATGACGACACCGTCCTCTCTGGATTCCTCACTATAATCAGCCACTGATATCACCGCCTCCACTTTTATATTTTTCTTCTTTAAAAAATTGAAAATGAAAAAAAAAGTTTTTCTTACTTTTTGTAAATTTGTTTGTTTTTTTTCATTTCGTTTTTTTAAAAAGGGAAAAATTGAAAAGGGTTGAAAAATCCAATTATAATGAAAAGGAAGTGATTTAATGGACATGGTTTGTCAATATAGATATACATACGCATGTATAAAATTCACTTAAGGTCGATCGTCAATCTCGTCATCGACATTACTACACAACACTGGTATAAAGGCCGCTCTTTTCCGTATACGATTATCCTGGAGAAATATATTCGGTCGCGTAAAACGAATACAGAGAATACATAAACATTTCCAGCATAACGGCAACATAAGTATGCTTGACTGACATTAATTGTGCATAATTTTCTACCCCCTTTACGTTGTGTTGCCCGATTCGCATGGGGACCAGTTTCGCGAATGTTGCATCTTAGTTTTTTCGTTCCGCATACGAATGAGCCGTCGATCTATAGGACATTCACCGTCCCGCAACCAATATATACCTTTTGCACTCGCCATTAAGAAAATGTTATGCAGAAAAAAAAAAAAAAAAAGAAAAACTTCATTTTTGCATCTAAAATCAACTGTCGAATATTCATTCACGTGAATTGCACTGTTCTCTATACAAAGGCTTAATTGTAGTTTGAGAAAATTAATTTTCATTTGTCAAAGAACTCGCTGAATTTTATATTGTTGATCATCGTATATTATATCTCATTTTTTACTTATTTTTTGAAGTTACAAAACTTTTTTAATTTAGATTAGAATAATGAAAAATAGCCTTAATGAAAGATATATATTTATTAATTGATAAATTACAGTTACAACATATTGTACAAAAATTATATTTTTAATAAAACATAGTAATTTAATGGTTACATTATAAAAAAGTATATTACAACACGTTGTAATAGAGCTAAAGTATAAGGTTTAATAATTAGGTGTTTTGAATATAACTATATATTTCCGATGATTACAGGTTGTATAGTAATTGTTTGCAAATAATTTATCGCTGTTCAAAAGTAAATTTGAATGAAATTTATATTTGTAGTTATTAAAAATATTAAAAATGTAACAATTAAAAATTAAATTTTAAAAGAAAAACACAATTTATTATTTCTGAGATTTTTTTTTTTATTTTCTGATTTAATAATTAAATTAACGAATATTAAATGCTATTTTAAAATCGTCAACTTCATTTATTTTATAATTTGAATATGAATTACAAAATACAAAATCAACATTAATGTAAAATTTATGCCATTAACTGTTGATGATAACATAAACAATTATGCAAGGCGTCAAATAAATATTTCATGGAGACATTTGATGTAAGATAATGGCAATAAGACCATGAGCTTAATAAATATAAAATTGAAATTAAAACAGCCTATAGTCATAATAATATCGATAAAGAAAAAAGAAAAAAAAAGAAAAGAAAATTATCGTAAAAATGGTAGAGCAGAAATCTTCAAAGCATCGAATAAGTCTCCTGATCCTTGATGCCTGAAGGTTAGGCTAACACAAATCTGATTGGCTCATGAATATTAAGTTCGAACCGCATAATTATCTGCGTTATAAATCGGGCGACTTGCTTCGCTTATACCTTCACGATATACACTCGGCCCTGCGTTATTATCTCACACACATATACATACAAGCATATATGCAAAATTGTGAGTATATTTATGTTGGTGGAAACCACGAACACGATTACAATCAAGTGTTAATTACTAATCTGGTGACTACTAATTATAATTAACGCCTTTCGAGCCAGGATGAGGGTGTATTGTCTGATCTGCAAAAGGGTCTCGACTTCTTTTTTCGCTTTGATCTGTCCTAAGTCATTGATTTATTGATTGCCATGGTATATATAAAAAAAGCCATCACAACAAGTTGCTTTTCATTGCATTTTATTTTATTCACTTTAGATATAATTCATCTTTGGCATAAATTCTTTTTCTTTTTATGTTTCTTTAAACTTTATTTTACTTTTGCAATATTGTTTGTAGATTTGTTTTTAAAAAAATTGGAATTATCATTACAGTGACAAAAATTTTGGTTGCGCAATAAACAGAATTCTGGTTATCCCAATTAGAATTTTGGTTAGAGTATATTTAACATTGATTCCGGTAAAAGTAACCATAATTCTGGATAGATTAACCACGCTTCTAGTTATTCCAACTAGAATTCTGGTTAGGGTACATTTAACATTATGGTTTCAGTTAGATTAACCAGACTTTTGGTTAATTTAACCAGAAATCCAGTTAATTTGGCCATAATTCTGGTTATTTTAACTAAAATTCTGGTTATGGTATATTTTATATTATGGTTTCTGTTCGATTAACCAGAATTTTGGTTAGATTAACCAATCCTCTAGTTATTTAAATCAGAATTCCAGTTTGACCGGAATTCTGGTTATCCCAACTTGTATTCTGCTTATGGCACATTTGACACCATGGTTTCGGTAATTAACCAGAAGTTTTGTTAAAGTAATCATGCCTCTGGTTATTTCAACCAGAATTCTAGTTTGACCGGAATTCTGGTTATTCGAACTAGAATTCTGGTTTCGGTACATTTGCCACTGTGGTTTCGGTTTAATTAAACAGAATTTTGGTTAGATTAACCAGTCCTCTGTTTATTTTAACCAAAATTCCAGTTTGACTGAAATTCTAGTTATTCCATCTAGAATTCTGGTTATGGTACATTTGATATTATGGTTTCGGTTTAATTAACCAGAATTTTGATTAGATTAACCAATCCTCTAGTTATTTAAATCAAAATTCCAGTTTAACCAGAATTCTGATAATTCCAACTAGTATTCTGGTTAAAGTAACCAGGCCTCTGGTTATTTTAACCAGAATTCTAGTTTCACCGCAATTCTGGTTCTTCCACCTAGAATTCTGGTTTCGGTACATTTGACACTATGGTTTCGGTTTAATTAACCAGAATTTGGGTTAGATTAACCAATCCTCTAGTTATTTAAATCAGAATTCCAGTTTGACCGGAATTCTGGTAATTCCAACTAGTATTCTGGTTATGGTACATTTGACACCATGGTTTCGGTTTAATTAACCAGAATTTTTGTAAGATTAACCAGTTCTCTGGTTATTTCAACAAGAATTTCAGTTTGACCAAAATTCTGGTTAGTCCAAGTAGAATTCTGGTTATGGTACATTTGGCATTGTGGTTTAGGTTAGATCAACCTTAATTTTGGTTATATTAACCAGGCTTCTGTTTATTTTGACCAGAATTTCATTTATTTTGACTAGAATTCTGGTTATGGTACATTTAACATTATGGTTTCGGTTTAATTAAACAGAATTTTGGTTAGATTAACCAGGCCTCTGGTTATTTTAACCAGAATTCTAGTTTCACCGCAATTCTGGTTCTTCCAACTAGAATTCTGGTTATGGCACATTTCATATTATGGTTTGGGTTTAATTAACCAGAATTTTGGTAAGATTAACCAGTTATCTGGTTATTTCAACAATAATTTTATTTTGACCAGAATTCTGGTTAGTCCAAGTAGAATTCTGGTTATGGTACATTTGGCATTGTGGTTCAGGTTAGATTAATCATAATTTTGGTTATATTAACCAGGCTTCTGTTTATTTTGTCCAGAATTTCATTTATTTTGACTAGAATTCTGGTTATGGTACATTTAACATTATGGTTTTTGTTTTATTAACCAGAATTCTGTTTAGATTAACCCTAATACTGGTTAGGTTAACCAGACTTCTGGTTATTTTAACCAGAATTCCAGTTAATTTGACCAGATAAATATAAAGGTTCACAACATACTGCGTATAAATTAACAAGAATTTTTGTTAACTAGAATGCAATGTTAATTATAGCTTATAATCATAATTTTTTCAGTGTAATATATGAAAAATATGAGTAATAAACTTCTAGAATCCGAAATTAATTATGATTTTTACATTTTTTGTTTTAGAAATTCATGAAAAATGATGAGTGTGTGCTTCATTAAATCGCCGACTTGTGGCGCTGTTCAACTGAACGTAAGCAACTGCCCTTGGCTCCTAACCTCAAAAGCGGTGAGTAGAATCAAAAATTAATTATTTAATTTTGAAGCTAATAATAGTAGAGTGACTATACTGTTTCTGTTTTGAAGAACAGTTTTCTGTCTCAAAATTTCGTTCCTATGGATATTTTTTGTTATTATTAATTATTTTGACTCATTTTGAATTTGAAATTTTTTAACTTCACGCTGACTTTAAAATAATTTAAAAATTTAAACATTCCGCAAAGGTGTCATATTGATGATTTTCTATATACATCCCTTTATAAAAAACGATCAGTATAAAGAAGCATAAAAAAAAAAATAACAAGGAAATAGGGACTCAATATCCACTTAGTAGAAGTATAGACAGAAACAGGAAATCCCAAAGCGGAAGCGGTGACATCACGCGTCGATGCTAGTTTGTTGGTCGATCTGTACTCCGACAAAATGGCCGGAAGCGCGCTGAGCGTGCTTGTAAGTTTTGGCTAATAGAAAAAAATGTCCCAACCTCCCTTGCTGCATTTGCGGCCATTGTTTTTTATTCCAATACATTTTAGCCGGGTTCGCTGGCTTTCGACACTGCAGCGACACTATCTCTCTCTCTCTCTCTCTCTCTCTCTCTCTCTCTCTCTCTCTCTCTCTCTCTCTCTCTCTCTCTCTCTTTCTCTCTCTCTCTCTCTCTTTCTCTCTTACTCTGTATATATAGAGGTGGCGCAGCGTTCTCACTGTGACGTGGATTTACATGCCTTTACTGGACCCCCCCCTTCTCTCCTCTTGCCACCCTTGTCCTCCTCGTTTACCCCCTTTCCCCAGTTTTCAACCCCTCAGTATGGACGAATATTTTCCCCGCGCCAACCCTCTATTTTTTTTTTTTTTTTTTTTTTTTTTTTTTTTTTTTTTTTTTTTTTTTTTTTTTTTTTTTTTTTTTTTTTTTTTTTTTTTTTTTTTACCAGCAGTAACTGTCTGTCATTAGGTGCATAGTATACGCGAAGTACCGATGGTGGACGCGGAATGATGCTGTAGATGGAAATGTGTGTTGAGAGAGGTGGGGATGAGTTCGCATGGACTCTCCGCGATTTAGGGATGAGGGAAAAATGGGGGAGGTGTAACGCTAGAAAACGCATTTAACAAGGACAGATAGTGATTTAATTTTAAAAAATTGACGAAACGGCTCGACGTCGGACATCGTATGCTGCTCCGTCGGGCATTGATTAACTTTCGACAATGTCAAATCGCGGGACGAACCAGCAACTCCACGGCCTTTTTCACTCATTTGTCTCCGTTTTCGGAGCAGCCCAACCGTCCTGCGGGAGATCCGGAAGCGGTCGTATGGATAACGAGGACAAATCACTGAGAATTACCCGAGAATCGATAGACAGACAGAAGTCGTTCCCGGGATATAAAATTGGGACATGTAGAGCATTTTTTTTTTTTTTTTTTTTTTTTTGTACAATTTAGCACAGGGCAAAAAAAAAAAAGAATAATTATGTAACGCTTGAAAATAAATGAAAAGTGCTTTTAACTTTGACACTTTGTCATTTAAGAAGTTTTGTCCTCATAATTTAAAATAATTGTATACGGGGAAAATTTATTTTGTCAATTTATTCTTAAATTGTATTCAACGATTTTTTATTTAACAATGGAAATTTAATTTAACAATTTTTTTTTATAAATATTAATATAATAATGACGATTATTTTGATCAAAATGATACTTTTAGATATTAATTTGTTTATTATAAATAAACAAAAAGTTATCTATTAATGTTTAAATTTAAATTACATTTTTAATAAATGTTTATTATTACTTTAAATTGAAATTTTTTTTAATTATTTAAAAAAATATTTATTGTTAAATAAACATTTTGCATTATTTTTTTAAGTAACACTCATTGCAAAAAGGAAAATATTTGAAAAGCAAATAAAAATTATAAAGTATAAAAATGATTAGCCCGTAAAAATCATTGGTTAGAATTTTCATTTTAAAGAATTTAATTTATTTTTATGACGAATTACTAAATTAGTATAGGAATTCATTTTTAGTAATTCTTATTCAAAAATGCCTGCTTGTTAATAGAAAACTAATTTATTTATTAAATTTACTAATGGAAATAGTAGTTTTATTAAATGAATTAATAATTTTTTTTCTATCAATTTTTTTTTACTATTAAGTAGTTATTTTTTATTAATTAGTCAAATGTGACTAATTTAAATTTTGAGAGTAAGAATTCTGTTATAATAAATATTTTAATTATTATTCATTTCATTGTTATTAAAAAAAAATTTTTTACATTGTAATATTATATTATTTAATTTTATAAATATTTAATTATTATTATTTTATATAAAAAATCTATTTAAAGAAAATTCGGTTAAATAAAATTTCGATTTAATAGAAATTCCGATAATGTAAGTCTGTTAAATAAAATTTAAACTAAAACATAGTTTATTTCTGTAAATTAAATTCAGGAAAATGATAATTCTGCCAAATAAAAATTTGGCTAAATAAATGATTTAAATTAAAATTCGGTATAATTAGAATTCAGATAAATGAAAATCCATATAAATAGAAATTCGGTTTAAAGAAAATTCGGCTTAATAAAATTCAACTAAATAAAATTCAGTTAAATAAAATTTGATTTAATAGCATTTTACTAAATAAAATTTCGGTTAAATACAAATTTTCTTTAGTTAGATTTCTGCTAAATGAAATTCGTGTAAATAAAAAATTTGTTTAAAGAAAATTCGGTTAAATAAAATTTCGGTTTAATAGCAGTTCTTATAATTTTGCTAAATAAAAATTTAGTTAAATAGAATCCTGCATAATTAAAATTCTGTTAAATGAAAGTCCGTTTATATAAAAAATCTATTTAAAGGAAATTCGGTTAAATAAAATTTCGATTTAATAGAAATTCCCATAATATAAGTCTGTTAAATAAAATTTAAACTAAGTCTTAGTTTATTTCCGTAAATTAAATTCAGGAAAATGATAATTTTGCCAAATAAAAATTTGGCTCAAAAAATGTTTTAAATTGAAATTCGGTATAATTAGAATTCAGCTAAATTAGAATTCAGCTAAATGAAAATCCATATAAATAGAAATTCGGCTGAATAAAATTCTACTAAATAAAATTCATTTAAATAAAATTTAATTTAATAGCATTCTACTAAATAAAATTTCGGTTAAATACAAATTTTGTTTAGTTAGATTTCTGCTAAATGAAATTTGTCTAAATAGAAAATTTATTTAAAGAAAATTCGGTTAAATAAAATTTCGGTTTAATAGCAATTCTGTTAAATTATATTTTTGAAATAAAATTTTAATTAAATAAAAGTTCAATTAAATTAAAATTCAGTTGAATTAGAATTCATTTGAGTAAAAAATTTGTGTAAAGAGAAATTTTGTAAAATAAAAATTTTTTCCAAATAAAAATTCTTTAGCTAAAACTTCTATTATGTAAAAATTTACTTAAAAAAAATTCTGTTAAATTCTAATTCGAAAAATGGGAATTCGTTCAAAAAAAAAAAAAATATTTGTGACGCGGTCTAAAAGAAGGGACCTTAGAAGCAAAAAATTATAGGTTATGTTTTAAAATTTCAAAGTGACAGAGAATCAATTTTCAATACAAATTGTTAATATTTAAGTCATTATTACATTCAAAATATTCAATAAAAACTGATTTTTATTTTTTATAAATCAAAAGAAACTTTTAATCAAGGGAAAATTATCATAAACATAACCTATAATTCGTTTGCTTCTAAGGTCCCTTTCTTCAGAGGGCGTCACATTTAGTAAAATTATAGAAAATGAAAATTCTTACTAACGATTTTTGTAGGACACCCCGATATTTATGAACATAAAAAGAGTAAAAATCATTTTTCTAAAAATAAATAAAATTCGTTAAAAAAATATTAAATGACTAATAGAAATGTTCTTTTATCAAGTTTTGCAAAGTTGTATGTTGAGATGGTGTTTTCCAATAAGTTCATTAAGGACGGTTGAGAATTTGTGAGTAAAATGAAAAGAGCACGCAAATACGGAAGCTTGAAGAAGAAGAAGAGCTGGGGGGGGGGGAGGGGGTTGGAGAAACAAAGTCGAAACGCGGCAAATTTCTGTAAAAGCTCGACTTGATGATGAAGAGTCTATGATACTTGAAAACATATACATATATATATATATAATATAAACGTACACACATAGACTGTAGGTTACATAACTGAATTATTCCATGAACACGTAAAGTTTTAATTTATTACGACTCGCATTAATGTTGCTGCTGGCTCTGTTGCTCGACCCGACGTGCGAGGAAAAGCTCGACGAAAAAAAAGTAAAAAAAAAAAAAAAGAAAGAAATAAAAAGAAACAAAACAAAGAACGAAAAAAAAGACAGCAAAGAAGAAGAAACTCGTTATAAAATACAATTTACTCCCTCGCAATGGGGTTTTCGCCATAATGAGATTTCACGTTGGCGCACGAACGCGTGTACCTAATTGTTAATAAAATGGAATAACTAGAATGAATTAACGCGTGTTAACTCTCCAGACGCATTTCACACTTCTTTCGTGCAAAAAGATGGATCCTTTTCATATATATATGTATATATACAATGTTCGAAATTTATTTGCAAAAAAAAAGTTTCTCACATTTTCTATTTCTTCATTATTCTCTTCATCATCAGCGACAAGTTTATATATTCATATTAAAAACTTAGCGCAGAAGAATTAGCATTAATTAAAAGGCTAAAAAAAATTTAAATTTGTATTAAAAAAATTTAATTAATATTTAAATTAATAGCCAAAAAATATAAAAACATTTTTTTTTTAAGAATATTGTAAAATTTAGTTGAATTAAGAAGTGATTTTTCGTATTCATAGTTTGAATATTGGCATCGAAAATTATAATAAGTTATTAAGTCTGGCAAAAATGGGCGGTGTGTGGTTGCAAGTACTTGTGCGCATAATAAGGGAAGAAGTGAGGTAAAGAGAAAGGGAAGAAAGACGGGTGGGTGTAGAGTATGTGAGGGGGATGGTGGCCA